GTACAGAGTTTTATCCATTTAATAAAAAAAATCAAAATAAAAAAATTGTGTTCACGACTTTGTGCTACAATAACAATTATAATTATAACACAAATCTTAGGCTTCCACTTAAGATTGCCTGGTTCTGCCAGGTTCTGTATTCAAAGAAATTTCTTAATCATCTCATAAGTCCAGTTTTTATTCAATATCTTTACAAAACTAACATCTGGTAATTTGTTTGGGCATGATATAATATTATAAATTTAATTTGATGACGCATTGACGCCTTGACGTCGTAATCGTTACAGCTGAAATCCGTGTAAAAACAATATTGGTATGCAACGTGCCCTTAATGAACGCCTCGAGCTTCAGGCACTAAAGCTGTGAAAGTTCTCTCCGATCCTCGCCTGTTACAATTAAATTGTATCTCATTTTAAACAGCCGAAAATATCGTTATTGAACAGAATATAAATCTCTTCTTAACTTTATGAAGATTTTTATTTTAAATATAATTATGTAAACGTTTTGAAGTGAGTATAAATTTAATAATTGTTAATTGTAATATTTTCTACATCTCTATTTTTTCAAATGTTTTAAAAAAAGAAGGAGATGTACAATTTTATTTATTTAAATTGTAATTTAGTTGTATTTTTTATGTTTGTTATTGTAGTGTTACACACACATTGTTGTAATTGTAGTGTTAACCTGGTCTTCTTAGATAAGCATTGCAGGTATTATTTTTAATATATGGATTAGTAGATAGCTTTTGCGCGCTAAAGATACATAAGAAAAAAATATTCAAAAATTGAATTCATTTGATAGAAAAGAAATATACGGGGATTATTTTGACTTGGAATTATATATTCAGAAATAATTTCACGATTATAAAAATTTATTTAAGATAGATATTTGTATGTAGATGCAAAGTTCTAAATAATTATTTTACTGATTTAACCAGTAATAATAGTCTATCCTATAAATCAAAATATAAGTTTTTAATATTACATTAATAAGAAAATAGGTTAATAATACGAATACAAAGTGGTAAGTAAAGAGTTCTGTTCAATAACATTATTGGAAACAATACAAAAAGAATTATTAGTTCTCATTTTCTCATAGATAAAGTAGTAAAGTGATGTAACTCACTCGAAAGGAAGTACAGTTCCGAACTTGAACTTGTGTGACTACAAGCCTTCGCCTTCGGCTTGAGTATCAAATGTGACACTCATTAATTAATCTATTTTTACTGCGGTCAACTGCCTACATAAATACCAATTATCTATTATCTACACGTAATTAATTTAATGTACCTAAATAATATTATTATACTCAGTAATATAGATAAGTAGGAAGTTAAAAATTTTACGTGGCTTATTTATTAGCATTAACTACTTTAACTTGGAAATAAAGAATAGTAAAGCAACGGGCGCTTTACTTATACAGCGCTAAAAATAAAATAATTATTTTTAAGACAATAAAATTTTATAACAGGTTCGTGCATAGTCGTAGCCAGTTTTAAGTAAAGTTTTAAAGCTGATTATTGTTATCATAATTAGTTACTAAGGAAATAGGTGTTATTGTATAATATTTACTAATAAAAAAAATTAAGAATAATTTGATTTTCATATTTAGACTCACGATTTCCAAAAAAATTCTATGGTATATTATTAGAATCTTTATATTCCCGAATTACCTATAATTATAATTTTTAAAAATTGTTCGTTTTAGCAGGGTAAAATATTTGCTAAAAGCATTCTTTTCAAGTCGATTCGAGTACTCGAATGCTGTACTAGTAATTATTATAATAATATACGTACATACTAAAATTTACGTATAAAAAAATAAATATATATAAATAACAACCATACTTATTGAGGAAATTGTGTCTTTTAATAGTTTTTTAATTATTGCAAAATAAAATATAAGCATTTGTTGTCGAATTATCTATTGCAAAATGCAATATAGCCGGATTTTAGAAGCTACCTATATAGAAGGCGACTACGGTCTAATGGCCGTTATACTCTGTGAAGATATTAATTGAATAAACTGTGTCACATTTTAAACTCAACGAGTATGACAATGTTCATTTATTTTATAACCATATATTATCCAGTATAAATGAAGCGACCTCTTTCTGTAAATTGTGTTAAAACGTTTACTGTGGTATTGTTCTTGATAAGTAAATAGAGAATTCTCTGTAAGTCGCCGACGTTTGTAAGCTCTTTGTCAATGGGCAAACATTGTTTGAACAGTGGCTCATGGCGTCTGATCACTTTTAGTTTTCGACGTTTAAGTTCTTATAACAAAACGTACCGACAGTCATAATATTTAACCAAATTTAAAAACCAAAAAAATTGTATCAATAATCTTTTGATAAATACGTTAATACCTTTAATATGAAAAGAATTTAATGTTAGAGGTTAAGTTTGGATTTTGTATTGTAACTATTTATTGCTTTGTAATTTTATTGTAATCGGTAGATTAGATACGATATAAAAAAGTGAACATCACTTATTACATATCTTTTTCATACATTTACTTTTGTACATTCACTAAAACAACTATTATACATACAAGTAAATCAACTGTCAATAGTGATGTTTTTTGTTTGAGCTTTAAATGCATAAAGGATCTGCGCTATAACGGTATCTTTTGGGAGGGAATTCCATAGTCTAGCAGCTTGCACTGTAAAAGATTTATTATTTAGCATGACAATACAAATACACGTTGTTGAAATTTATTTCATGTGACTTCATAGCCTAATTAAATGCGTGCTATCAATTTTGTTATATAAAGAAATAAAACGGAATTACAAATAACATGTTAATGTCTATTAAACGTGAAACTATGTACAAGCTTTTGTATGAGCATGACACAAAACATTAGTACCAAAGTGAAAGCAGAAGCTCAGCTACTGGTGTAATAGTAGTTTAGAAAAAAACGAATGAAACTGGTTTAGAGCAGCTGGCGACTGTGTACACAGTATAGTTGACTAACACTTGTATTGTCTTATTGGAATGTATAAGCATTCCTGGGAGATCTAGCAAGCATGAGCATAACCGCATTAATTCGATATGTATCCCACATAACCACACTTGAATATTAGATACTAATTAGTAAACCAAGTTTACAAATTCATGGTAATAGTTGTAGGAATTTACAAAATATAATTTTTGAATATCTTCCGAAATAAAAATTTTCAAAATTTTCAATTTCATACTTCAATTTCGAAGGGATACTTCTAAATAATGATTTTCTAATAAATTTAAATTTTAATAATATTATTATTAATAGAAATTCATCTTGTTTTTAATTAATCCATTTTCAAAGATTGTTGATTTTATTAATAAAATTTTAATAAAAATGATGATATACTACAAATAGTTTCACTTTTTATCAATTATTTAGAAATATTCAAAATATATTTTAAAAAACATTTTTCTTGTTTAAGTTTACTGTTCATTCAATCGTAATGACATTTGGCATATACCTTATACATATCTTTTTGTGTTGGAAAAGGACATTTTATGAAGGGTACTTTTATCTTTGTCAATCAATATGTCCCGGTCACGTGGACCAACTCGCGCGTAAAAAACTGAAATATATATTATGACATTGTCGTAGGAGAATTAGAATAGAGAATCAATAAGTCCCCGGCTTACTCTGGTAAAAGTGATTTTATTACCGGGCGCGGCGTGGATCATGCTTTGTGTTTCCAGGCAAACAATCGGCTTCGACAGTTTACTTGTTGCGGTATTTAAGCGGCCGGTACTATCTGCATAATGCGGTCGTCATCAGCGATGGCGTAGCGCGATACTTGCCTCGTTATATCCGATTTACATTTTAACCGCACTCGCCCAAATAGCCTATTTCGTGTAAATTAATTTACAACCCAATTTCGCATTACCGACTTAAGAGCATGTGTTAAAACAATTAATAAATCATGACATTATTAATTAGTATGCGTGATTCGTGCACCCACTCAGCTTTCGTATAAATCGCTGTACACAGTTCGTTAGATATTCAAACAATGACTTCATTAGCGCTGTAATCGCTGCGGTATTCAACTATAGCTGTGGACTTCGTAGCACATAGCAAAATAGATGAATACATTCCATATGTGGTCACATGTGTGTCAATACAAATTATTGTATTTATTTATTTTATTCATGAAACCCCTGATTAAATATTTCTATTGTTATTATCATTAATTATTTTACCCGTTAACTATAATAACTAGAATAATAATTCAAAAGTAAAAAAAGAAATTAATCAACCAATTTAATTCCCATCAAAATTTGTGTTTTGGTGTAGGTACGTATTTATGGATTTATTATTGTAATAATTGTTTTTCTATTTTATATATTATGTTGTAAAACATTGAAATTTACTTTATATTGTACACATAAAATTGTTTTATTCTTAGCTACTTTCCTTAGAAAAGTAGTAGTAAGTTGTGAAGTAAAAAATTATCGCTTAATTTTTTTGTATTGAGTGCAAAATATGCATCAATTTACCTGTTTCATATTACGGCATTAAATGATCTACAACAATCTTAGTGTGATTAAATTATGACAATACAAATACAACAAGTACAACTATTAAAATTTAATATAACAGAGTAGCAGTTGTTGTAACGACACAGATGAAGTACGTGCTTGCTGTCACGAGAGGTCGCGTGCGCGTCCCCAGTGGTGATCGTCATGCGTCGCCAGGTCGCCACCCGTGTGTCGGTAGACCACCTGCTAATAATCATACCAAGTTCCTGTAAATAATTGCTTGCCTAAATTGTAACCGCACCTGATGTTTCGTGGCAAATATCTATCAAAACTGGTTAATTCTGCTATTAATATATTCCTTTCTTTAGAAAATTGATGAGAAAATGTGGTTGCTAGTTGGATTTTTATAAATCAAACACAAACTTTTTTTATTATATTAATATTATATATACCTACAGATAATTCCTAGTTGTTTACATCATTATTCTATTCATATTATAATTGAATCTCTTTTTGTTTCAGATCATATACGAGAGTTCTCTTGCGGCAGCCTGTTTTATAGAACTCTGTACTTAAACGAAGAGGGAAACACGTTGTATGTTGGTGCTATGTAAGTGTTATTTATAATTTTATTCACATCTTTAAATCTGTTCTTAGACTTTAGTCTAAAGTCTTTAGTCTTTACTTTAGTCAAATGTATGGTTTATCATACATTTGTATGAAGTAACATTGTGTTGGCTGTGACAATAAAGCATAATTTTTAAGCGGGACCGTGGATTTGTGTGCAGTAAAATATCACACGAAATCGTAACCACTCAACACAGTGGGTAATACGAGAATGTCAATAAATCCTTTGTGCAGTGAAATGCTATAAACGCCGCTAACTCTGGGACGCAATAAATAAATGAAAGCTCAATTTGCTTTGTCTCATTTACATCGTAAACGAATGATAATAAAGAATTCTTTTTTTTTACCAAAAGCGATACATTCCATGCCTAGTCGAATAAAAATAAAAAGTAGGTACTTATATATTTGAACAGTGTCTTGATTTAATTGTTTTACTTTGCTATGACTTACAAGCCCCAAATAATCGCGAGTTTACATCTGGCTGATACTAGAAATTTAACGAATTAATTTAAATATCCGCCTAACTATGACTACTACACTTTCGTCTCAAATATATTATATCTATGTATTTGAATAAAAACTTTTTATGATGTTTTCGTAAAAACAAATTTTATGTGTTTAATTTTATTAACATTTTATTCGTTGCTAAATACAAATGATTAGATCTTTTATATATCAGGAATTTGAATGTATTCGCAAATTGTATGAGTTACACATATTTTTATTATAATGATAAAACGGGGTGAGAAAATGTAGATGACTAAGAAATATTTTTGTGAGTAGGATAACGCGAGCCATCGGGCTATTCTGCGTAATTTATACAGCTCGTTGAACACCAACTTGAAGCAAATAAAATAAATACAACGGTCGCATTCTGCGCATATGCTCCTCCGGCCACAAAAAGTGGTATTCATTCCATTCCACTGCGGATTGTCTAGTTACTCTGCAACACTTTTTTATTACTTTCAACGATTTAAATGCCTTTAGTTGTCTCTAGACTCTAGTAACGTTATTTGGTAAAACTTATTTTTTGTTACAGGGATAGGGTATTTAAATTAAATATGACAGATATAAGCCAGTCTCATTGTGAGGTATGTACAGTTTTGATTTCTATCATAAATTTTAACCGTTTTAAATTAATGTGGTACATATTTTTTATAGTTGATGTATAGGACAAAGTATAAATCATTTAACTACTTCAGTATATTCAGTATAGTAAGGAAAAATTGCATTTAACATAGCGACGAAATTTTCAAAGCAAAGAAAACATTTTGCTAATGTTCTTCAGAAAGGAAGGTTTTACAAAGCCATTTATTCTTACTACACTGGATGTTTAATGCATCTTTCCTTCACATAAGGTTTTCGTACAGTTTCGTACGCCAAGTGTCATGAGCCTTTTGAAAGGCAAAACTCTATGTAAGCGTTGCATTTTATACTTACAAATTCTACTGCTGTTTCCGTAGTTTTATTTTACATTTTGTAAGCCGCTACATTGTCGCTGTTATAATTGTATAGCATTTTATTTGTGATAATATTAAAATTAAGTGAATCTATTTAAAATGAAATAAAAACAAATTTTATGTGTTAGTTGTTTTAAGATAACATATTTTGATAAATATATTGAAGCTACTTTTCTACGTTTACATTTTTGTGTTTTGTAATAGAAAACACAGTAAATTTTAATTATTTGCCATTATTGTGGTAAAATATGGAGGTGAACCATATGAACCATATTCTTAATGTACACAAAATACCACTCGGCCTAGGGCAGCTAATACCAGTAATTGTGAATGTCCCTTACATTTACAGCGAGATGCTCTATTACTGGAAGCCAGTAATGTCGCACAGTGTGTAAGCAAGGGCAAGTCAGAGCCGTTTGAATGTCGAAACCACATCAGAGTGCTACAGCCGCTCGGTGACGGGGAGAGGCTTTATGTGTGTGGCACTAATGCACACAATCCAAAAGACTGGGTAGTTTATGTGAGTATTTTTTAAATATTTATTATATACATTATAGAAAAATGTAGTAATACATTTTTCGTATATATATTTCGTATATATCGTTTTATGACTTATTATAAATTATAGAACTGTGGTCTATTTATATTCTGATTAGGCTGAAATCACTATTGATCTGCTGATTTTGTTAAGGTAGCCTCTCCTATTTATTATGGTCGTACTCGACCATTGAATTACTTTTCAGAATTTGATCTCTGTTCAAAATACTACATTACATATAATCCATTAAACAATATCTAGAAGTACATAATTATGACGTGGTATATTTTTAATTATTTTTATATGCGTTATTTCGTTATTAACGATTTTAAAATTTTAAAGAATATTGTATTGTAATAATGCACGTTTTGTTAACAGTTGAATTTGACACATCTACCTCGACACGAGTACGTGCCGGGTGTGGGTCACGGTGTGGCAAAGTGCCCTTACGACCCGGCGGACAACAGTACAGCTGTGTGGGTTACACAGGGCAACCCAGGGGGATTACCTGCTCTGTATGCCGGAACCAATGCCGAGTTCACTAAAGCGGACCCGGTAATATTTAGAAATGACCTTTTCGATTTTCGAACGGGCCAGAAGAAATTCAACTTTAAGAGGACGTTAAAATACGACTCTAAATGGTTAGACAGTGAGTATTTTTAAGACTTTTAATAATTAATAAAAATAATTATAAAAACCGTTTAATAAAATAATGTATTTTACTCAATAAAATTTTGTTCAACAGTTAAGACTATTTGTATAAGTTATTGCACGAGTATAAAATGTATTTGACTAAAATTTGTGCTAAAATAAATAAAAATTGATAAAAAGCTACTTCAATTTTGAAAAATTGAGCAGGTGACTGCCATGGCATGATGGTATACTTGGGATTAATTTTTCATTGAATGTAGTCAAAAAGTCTCTCCTTTTTGATTAGATGTAATGGTTGATATAAAGTTTAGATAACTATGTTAAAGACCAAAAACAGTTTAAGTGAAGTAGCCTTCACAGTCCAGGAATTTTGCGGCATTAAACTTATTGCCATGAATAAGACTGTATAGCTATATAAAACTGCAACGGACATTTAGTATTAATTTTCGATATTTCAAAACTACCAGAAGTTATGTCTTATTTCTAAAACATGATGGTTGTAAATTGTTTGTTTATTTCAATAGAATATAATGGAAAAGTAACAAAGTTTTGTTAAAATTATCATATAAACACTCAAAATGAAATTATTTAATTTATTTAACAATTAATCTATTTTTGGATTGTACTACTGCTGAACAGAGTCTGCTGACTCTTATGGTCGAATCAATAATTCGCTTGTTTACATTTTAAATAAGTTCTATTGAAGCAGATTATAATTATACATTATTTTAACATAAAAAATTATCGTACAATGCCATAGTTCAAGAAACATTTTGATTTAATTAAATCTTCACAGAAACCAACTTTGTGGGAGCATTTGACGTTGGAGAGTACGTCTTATTTTTCTTCCGCGAAACGGCGGTGGAGTTCATGAATTGCGGCAAGGCGGTCTATTCCCGTGTCGCAAGAGTATGCAAACACGACACGGGTGGGAAGCACATTCTGAGCCAAAATTGGGCCACTTACTTGAAAGCTAGACTGAATTGTAGTATACCTGGCGAGTTTCCTTTCTATTTCGATGAAATACGTGAGTATTTTAATACTAAAATTTAATCTTGTAGTTTTGTTGAATTCATAAGTTTAATGAGAAAAAAATAATAATATTCACGGTACGTATTTTGTACTGTACAGAAAAGTACTTCATGTATTAATAACTAATGTTTCTAATTTGTGATATGGATATTATTAAAACTACCTTCACATTAGTCCCCTAATGGGGTATACACACAGGAAATATTCTTACTTCCTCTATATTCATAAATTATCACGAATAAATTGTTCGGTATAGAGAGCGTGTACCAAATGCCGGGAGACCCAAGTCGGTTCTACGCGGCGTTCACGACGGGCGCCAGCGACGGGCTTGTTGGTTCAGCGATTTGTACTTATACAATGGATGACATACAGGAAACTTTTAGTGGAAGATTCAAGGAACAGGTTAGAAATATTGGCTTTAGATATTAGTAAAATAATAAATAAATACAATTGTACAAATATTTACAAGCTTTACCTTGTATATATGAGTTTATATATATATATATATATATATATATAATATATATACACTATATATAATATATATAATTGTGTATATATATATATAATATATATACACAATTTACGCCTGCCTACGATTTACTATTAGTATTACATACGATTAGTTGATGATTTTAGGACCTAATTATGCATACTGCGCACGGTGTTATTGATTTTATTTATTGTAAACATAAGTGACTACGTAACGTTTTTTGATGTGTGCAATCTAGAAAATTTTTAAGTTTTACCTAAACAATATTAACATACATTACCGTTGCATGAAGACGTTAAAAAAAATTAAAACCAAAGCATTTTATTTAAAAATTTCGTTCCTGAAAATGGCACAATCATGCAGGCTGTCATTTGACACAATCGATTAGCGATCATCTCGACATCACATCGAATAGACGTCTAATGGACATTACATTATCATCTATTCAATGTGATCGATTTGGTACTATTCCATTGCGTTAACAGACAGCCTGCAAGCAAACAACAAATACATGTATAAAAATATTTTTGTATATATTATATAATTAAAAAAATATTTTTGTTAAAGTGACTTTATTAATAATAATAATATTTTTTTAATTAATTATGCTTATTACATTGTCATTATGCAGGCGACATCTAACTCGGCGTGGCTGCCGGTGCTGCGGGCGCGGGTACCGGATCCACGGCCCGGCACCTGCGTCAACAACACCGAGGCGCTTCCCGACAATGTGCTCAACTTTATCAGGTACTAGATGTAACCCACGATCTTGTTTGCTTGGTTTAGTAAGTACATTACAGGGTACTATTTTTATGTACAAGTATACTTTGTATAAGAATTGTTTACGTAGGTACCATTGTTCCAATTTTATTTTTACCGACAAGCAGTTGTGCTTGAATGATTGCAAGATTTGAGAGCGTTTTTAGTGGATACCGACGTATGAGACATGCACCAATAGATTCTGTGATATTCATGTCGGTGTTTAATTGAATTGTACTAATATTATAAATGAGAAGGTTATATATTTTAACTCAATGACGCAATCATGCTTAAACGGTTGAATGGATTTGAATGAAATAAGGTACATGGTTAGGTTATATCCTAACTTAACACATAGAACTTTATATACCTACTGATGAACTGAGGTAAAGCTGCAGGAAACAGCTAGTTTAAAAGTCATACAAAGATCTTTTGCTCTAGGAAATAATCCATGCGTATTGTTGCATCCAAATTCTTTTAGCCATTTAAACTTAATTATATAAATAATAAATGTCTAAATATTTACACAAAGTTTTAAAATTTATAATATAATATTAGTAAGAAATAAGTGACACTCATATTTTTACTTGGGATTTATTACTAGCTTTTATGTAACTTGTGAGTATATATATTATCTGACATTTACAACAATCTTCTTGCATTCAAACTTTGGACTAAATTCGAATAAACAGCGAACTTTGTAATTTGCATATATTTAGAAGATTCGTTGCAATATTTTATAGGTATAGAATACGTATTCTACTTTTACCTTAAGATGAGTGTTTAGCTCCTAATCACAAATGAATAAGTTAAGGTTGTTGTGATGACAATAATTATTATAAGTTAAATATATATATATATATATATATATATGTAAATAATATATAAAAAATGCTTAAAATTATACTAAAACGAAATTTTTATTCTTATCTATATAAGTAGTCTAGTTAACAATTATATAGTGCACGATCAGAAGGTTGACTTTCCTTGATTCCCTTTGTTACAATAATCTGTTCTCTTGGTTTATTGTGTGGATATCTCTTTGCCTTGCTTTTAATCTTTATCTAGACCTTCAACCAGGGCCGTAATAAAATATATCCGTAGCCTTATTTAAAATCTGTCGTTTTACTACTACTCTGCTAATTCTAGACGTCTACCTCACTAATTACAATCATTAATTTCAGTGACTTCATAATTTAAGTCCAAATTTTAATACAAATTAAGCTCCTTAAATTCGTTAACTAATCGCATCTTTGCTTCGCGTGCTTTCCCCAAGAGCAAACCGGGAAGACATCACATTAGTTTACGAGTCCTGTATTCTCTTAATTGGGTCACACTACGCTTTAATTTATGAGACGGTGGGAAATTTGTTGGACAATTAAATCCTGATTCTCAGTAATTCGACTTTGACTGGTGTAAGGTAAAAACCTCTATAGGTACGGAGAATAAATGTATAAATAACACCTCTTTACGTAAGTACAGTAATTTTTAGCATAGATCTAGTAACTAAATAATAAGAAAATGGAAAAAATTAATAAAAAATAAATATGTAAAAATATATATGTATATATAAGTTATTTTAGCTTAAATACTAAAAGACAAGTAAATTAAAGTTAATACGAGTATATTTATTATCAATTCCAAAAGTGAAAAAATTATTTACATGGGCGTTTCACCTAAATAAACATTTTCAAAGCTTTTGTTACTTTCTCCGGCTTTGGGTCGCAGAGTTACATAATTAATATGCGTGAATTTCAAGTCCCTATAGCATTCGTTTAAAAGCTAGAGGCTCGTGATAAACAGACAAACATCGTTGATAAAATAACGAAGGATTCCAAGAAACCCTACAAGTATTGTTCATTTATAGTAAAAGTATGTCTAAAAATATTTCCAACACGGTCCTAATGTGCCTATAGAATTTGAGTTACGAATTAAAAGAGAAGTTAAATATAAATCGTTTACCGTATTTTTGTACGGCGATCAGGCTGAAATGGACATAAAGCCTTTTTGTTTGCATTTGACGCTATTAACCTCGGTTAAGTTCCACGGGACATTAAGTGCGAGATTGGAATTGAACATATTATGTCAGTGCTTCAAATCCAGCGATGCGCGGACGGTCGCATTGTTCCGGTGGATTTGGAGTGGTATCCACTTAGGCAATGCCTATATCCAAAGTTCAATGTTTAATGCTAAACTAAATTTGAGAGTGTAACTCATGTTCAAATGTAAAACCATTTACTAGAATAAAATTGTAATTTGTATTATTTCAAAATGTGTTTAAAATAGTGATTATTAATATAAACGATAATAACGGTAAACTTTGAAAAGAAATAGTTTCAAGTAAATTATTTATCATGTTTGTATACACTGTGACAGGTCACACCCATTAATGGACTCGGCAGTGCGACACGAGGGAGATGCGCCTGCGTTTTATAAGAGGGACTTAGTGCTCACAACCCTCGTCGTTGATCAGCAGTTTGTCGACATGCTGAGGGATGATATCACTTATACTATATTTTACGCTGGCACCAGTAAGTTTGTGTTTTATATGTGTATGAGTATCTTTTATTCTTTTGTACTATAGATTGTGATAAATTAACTTTCGTCATCAAGAAAAAATTTCGGTCTATTTTAGTCAGTATATTACAGTGAATTGCCATATACTAAAATGAAAAAAATAGAAAGTGCTTAGTCGTGGAATAATAATGAGCTCTGATGATCACGATGATGTAAATGAATACCTCTACTAGGTGCTGGTGAGGTGTACAAAATAGTGCAGTGGGCGGGCGGCGGTTCCCGGGTGGCGGACGTGTGGCGCGCAGCCGGCTCCGAGCCGGTGCGGGCTTTGGCGCTCTCTCGACGGATACACGCCCTTTACCTCGCCACCGATAACCGCTTGAGGCAGCTACCGTTACATGCTTGTGCGCATCGGTAAGTACTCATATAAATAAAAAAAAAAAACTTTGCAAGTAAGAGGAATTTTGCCGAAAAGTTTGCACTAGCAGGCTTGCGTCGATGACAAGTTGTGATTTTTATAATAGGAATTGTTGCTTTTTGACTTGAAATCTGACTTATTTTTTTACTTTTAATCACAATGCAATGAATGTGTTTTAGAGTAACAAACATGAATTCCCGATTTGCGTTTATTTTCTTAGTAAACATTTTAAAAATAAGATTTCTAAGATTCTGTACGATGACAGCGGTGCATTTATTGAATCACTTTATTATGGGTTACTTTCAATTAATTTCAATGTTTCATTAGCTACGATAGTTGCGTGCGTTGTGTCCTGGATCCGTACTGTGGGTGGGACAAGGAAGTTGGCGCGTGTCGATCCTACGCGCCGGGTCTTCTTCACGACGCCACCAACTCTACACCGTCCATATGCGAAGCCAGTGCCCCACTCAGAACAGTGCGAGCGGGCTATGGGCAGAGCGTACATTTAGCGGCATTTGGAAAGACACCTGAGGCTTTTAAGGACCAACACGTCACATGGTACCACCATTCTAGAGAGAAAGGTCGCTATAAAATAAATTTCAAGTGAGTAATATTAATAATATTATATAAAAAATATATAACTATTATACAGTATTTTGATTTTGAAGTCTCTTGTAAAGACAGTGTGGTGATCTGTTAAGTTAGTATGAGAAGCTCTTACTTTTTTCATCCACGTTTCTTTAGGTGTTCAGATTCTTTGACAGAATACTTCCATATAAAGATGCTAATTAGTTCCATTTTTATCAGTTTCAGTTTACTCTACTTAATATTAAACTCTTTTTTTCTGCTACTAAGCATAATATTTTTGTAGTTGGGAGAGAGTGCTGCAGACTTCGGAACGTGGTCTCGTTCTACTAACGGTGTCGGATTCAGACCGCGGTCGGTACGAGTGCTACTATGGGCCCACGCTTATAGCATCGTACAATTTGGATATCGATATACACAGGTGAGATACATCCTATGTTTGTAACATATACCAATAACCCATTAAAATATGTACTACCATATATACATTGAACATGTTAAGTGGCCTAGATTATTTCTTTGCAATTTAAGGTTTTCCTCGTGTCAGGTCTATTAAATCATGTATTTTTCCTTCTTTTGATCATTATATTGTTATAATACTTATGGCTTAATTACAAGTGTGTATTTTGGAAGACAAATTTGATATATAAATATCAAATTGCATTATTCAGTTATTTAGCGGCAGAAATGAACAGCACAGCTCTGCTTGAATGACTGTACTTTGATACTTTTAGTCTGAAAGGTATACAAAGATACTGTAGTAAAATAATTGCGTAAGGAATGATAACATTAGTTTCAGGATGGCAATGCATCAGGATTATACAGTTTATGTCTAGAGGACATATTTTCACTTAACTCCGTTCTAACAGGTGGACCATCAGTTTATTTAACCTTTTTTTTATGCAGCTCAGAATAGCAAACAAGCTGACGGCTTACCTGATGAAAAGTGGTAACCGTCGCCTATAGACATGAACAGTACCATGGACATAACAGAGTATACTCGTATATACCGTTCCGCCCATGATACCTCTCATGCGTTGCCATTCCTGAGGACTCAGGTGTTATTCCTTTGTACCCTTGTAAATTTTACAGTGTAAATTTTATTTAGTAATAAATAAAAGGTATAATAATAATAATAAAAACCTATTACTATTTTACCAATATAAGAAGTCTGTGTAAAACATAAAAAGAAACCACATAAATTATGTTTTGTGTGCGACAAAATGTCGTAGAGAACTGTTTATAGCCAGAATTTGCTTAATATCATTTAATATTTCGTTTTGAGAGTATCTGGCTTAGTACGAATCTGGACTATTCTCATTTCATATTCCCTGAAAGTTTGCCTGCGACCGCATCGTGACAGACGTCACGTTATGTGCAATATTAAGTGTATTTCAAAGTAAAATTAATATTTCTCATAACTCCGCCTGTCTCCAGTTTAGTAATTAAACCTCAATGCCAGCAATAGGACCATAAAAGTGTCTCCATTTGAAATGTTTCATAATTCCGTGTTTGACATGACACGACATTCGATTCATCCTTATCTCTCTTTTATGTTTATTTAGATATATGTGTCTATGGTTAGAAATATTTTTATAAAAAACATACGAGTTTCCTTAAACCCATAAAGCTTTCAATATCAGGGACTTTAATGGTTTCTGTGTATCAATTTGAGCGAGATACATGTATATTTAGAAAATAAAGAATCAACAACCCAAATCTCTTGTAAATATTGTAATAGAAAATAGTTAAAATTAGAAGCTTTCAAAACTACGCTATTTTAAATACTTAAAATAGTATAGTTTTGAAATTGATAGCGTATTGTTAAAAGGCATTAACAATTTTCTAATGTAATTTTTTCTCTATCGTAATTGTATATACAATAATAAATGAACGAATAGAATCATAAAATTTAACAGATAGGTTTTTTATATAATAGCTTTGAAAATGTAACCACCAAGGGGGTGAAACGGGGATTAAAAAATGTTTAGAATTTCGGCAATTTAGAATTAAATATGCGAAATTAGATCAAAAATCGAATACCACATGTGAGTGAAGTCGCGCGCAAAAGCTACTTTACCTATATAGTGTTTGCAGATTTATAAGCTTCCATGGCAAACGTAATATTCGACTTGCTTATATTTCGCTGATTATATATGTCAGCTATCAATATCTTTATTATAATAATAATTGAACTTAATATCAGAGTTTTGCCATCATGTTAATATTGTTAGTTATAATATTTTTTGTCTGTCAGTTTCGAATATCATTGAACTTGTAAACTAAATAAAGTATTAAGTAAGGAAAGCGGCGCTGGCAGCACTCTATTTTTGTTGATATCTAGCTTCGTAATTACTTAAAATAATTATTATTAACACTTTTTTTATCTATGAAATTAACTAGTCAGTGTTAAGTGACATTCATTGACGTCAATGTAGCCTCGACGCTTCGCATGATTTGACGTCAGTTTCTGACGGAGAATATTTTGTACAGATGAGCAACGACGGCATTCATGATTGATGATGAAAAATCAATAGAAATAGTTTTTTTTGTGTCTCAAGTCATCATCTACTGAACAACTATATACAAGAAATTTTTGCTATTTATCTTCACCTTTTTTTCTCCATACATGGCTGCTTTTGTTAAGACCAGCACAAAAGCTGAACAATCTTCGATGTACCTTTTTATCCATAATGATAAAAAAAATATTTCATGCTATAATGCAACAAGTGTATGTGAAAGTATGCAACTGACAAAAAGAAAATTTTGGATTTCAACAACAAAATACTCCTCGTCTGTTCAGATCTTCTAAGCCATGGACCACGTTAATATAGATAATAAATATCACGGATAAGAGCAGGCACGTCATACACGGTACTGATTGGTACAGCATTGATAATATGTCGACAGGCACTGACGCGTATTGATGGCTTTTTAAAGTTTGAACAGTAGAAAGAGAAGAATAGGCACTGTTCTTAATATGTGTTTAATCTATTTATGATTTTAAATTTCTAGCTAGAAATTGAAAATATCAAATTTCAAAGTAGCCAGTAGGTATTAGAAAACGGCAATTTTAAAGAACTATAATATTAAACTAGGTACATAATTATTTAAATTGGATTTCAAAACTTCATAAGTACAAAGCTAGTACTAGTTGAGCTATAAATATCGTATGAAATCAGTCAAAGAACGACAGATGAATTGTTAATGTTAAAATCCAGTTTAGTGAGTATGAAGTGTTAGTTATAATAAATACAATGGCAGCAGTATATTTAGACACCACTATAAAACATGTTTATGTATTTGTAACAGGTGCACGCAGCCGAGTAAAACACAAGAATACAAACAAGTATACTCGGACTGGTGTCATGAGTTCGAGAAATACAAAAGTGCGATGAAAGCATGGGAGACACGACAAATGGTAAGTCATAATAATTGTTTTGCAAATTGTTGTACTTTATTTTATTCCTTATCATGTTGGTAGTTGCTGATACTTTATTGATGTTTATTTCTAAAGAGAGGACAGACAGCTTGCTACCTAGTTTAGACTGAAAAACCAGTGAGCCAAAAGCCAGTCTTCCACAATTATCTTTAGTCTTATGTTATTGTTGCCAATTGAATTGTAATGTGGTCGTAATGGAAAAACAATAAATTTATATTATATTATTGTTGAGTTTCATAAGTAGGCAATGTATGTTAATTGTAAAAAAACAACAGTAGAGCATTTTTCACAAAAATACTATTTATAAATGAATCCATTAACTTTTACAATGAAAAATTAATAAATTATATAATGTTTATTTATAATAATTGTTTTTATTATTATTATTATCAGAAAAGAAGTTTTACTATAAAAATAAATATTATGTTATATAAAAATATCCTCTATATAAAAATAATCTTTATTCTAATTACTTTGTCTTACTTTACAATAATTTTTACCTTGCGATAAGGTAAAAGTTACTTACGAAGTTATAAAAATACGTCATCTTAGGACAAATGTTGATAATATTTTTCATGAATCTCATTTCTCTATTTTGGAGAAAATTGTGATGTATCAATGTTCTATCAAATAATAGATCAGAACAATATATGGAGATAGGTTTATATAATATATATAGGTTAGGTTAGGAATAGCTATAGGTTATTCTTAAATATTGTCGCCTTTTTAGCGTTTCAGACAAAAGAAATCCATATAAGTTTCATATACAATTTATTATTCTTGGAATCCTTCAAATATGATCGGATGACAAAAAAAGCATTTATTCATATAATATTTTATATTTAATGTACTCGTACATCTATTAATCACTTTAGACACTATTTATATCATGAATGTATCTTTTTTAATCTGTTCAGATGTGATCTGTGTTTCAAGTTTTTATAGCGAAATTCATGCAGGCGATTCATTCATTTCATTCGGCAGTCAGGAATAAATTTAGTATTTACAATACATATTAAAATAACCATAAAAAATTGGGTGAGAACTTTCAGTATTTACAACAATATGTCTTTACAATTATAAGAATAACACAAGAAGTATAAAAGTTACAAAATTTATAAATATATTCAAAAAATAACAAAAAAGATTGTATTTTATCACCATCAACCCACTATTAGAAATTCCTACAATTACATACTTATAGACGGATTCGACGTCACGGTACTTCCAATTTCCACTTAGACTATAGGTTTTATACATACTGTTATTAGCCGCGGACATTTATCACAATCACAACTCAATAAAAAGTCCTGTGATATTATCGAACATTATCAAATTATCGAATAGCATGTGTTTTGTTTCCGTGAGCCAAATATGGTTTATTACATCCAATTTACTACTTTTAACTTAATAATGTTAAAGAACGAATACCTTAGCAACGGTGTGTAGGTAATTATTCAAAACCATGAAGGCTCATAAAATATTATAACTATGCTCAACATCGAGTACTTATTTAAAATTATTTCAGTATTTCTTCGTCTGTAGTTAGGTACTTATTATATATAGTTAAAAATACAATTCGGACATTACGAGTAGGTATTAGCTGCGCTGGCGACTTCATCCGTGTATCCAGGACACATTTACTGAATGGGATAAAAGTAATCTATGTCATTGGTGATTCGATGATGACTAATAAATTAATTTTAAAATTAATAAAACTAATAATTTTTAATTACGGCATTATTGGTATTTAAAAGCAGAGCAAAAATAGATACAAAAAGTTGTCAACCTAATTACTTTAATAGGTCAATAACAAGAATAGTTTTAATTAACATAGGTAGTATAAAATTTTATAATGTATTAAGTTTTCATATAGATAATTTTAATTGTACAGAGTTTGCGTAAGCAACTGAAATACATACTGTTAAGGGAATAAATGTTCTAATAGCATGTAGTAGTAAACATTTGAAGAGGACGACACAAATATGTCGATGATAAAAATTATCATTTTTGGCAATTTTATTATTTGCCCTTCAAACAATAATGGTTAAATGTGAAGCCAATTTTACAATTAACCATTATTTATTAAATATTGATTGATAACGTATTTTTACAAATTTCAGCAGTGCTCCAAAAACCTAAACGCATCGAGCCAGCAAAACACTATGGCGAACGAGATTGTGGCGTCGCTGCGGTGATAGGGCACAGCTCGCTAGTGATTAATGAACGATTACGCACACCAAGCACCGCTAACATAAACTATCCGATATTTCGCCGACGACGCCCCACCCCCAACCATTGAACAAAACGTAGTACCAGTTTTTGTCGTCTTCCATTATTCGCTCCTGGATGTTGCGAGTTTTTCAGACGGTCAAACAGTAATAAAAACTTTTTACATTTTACCCGCAACGTCTTGTTTTTAAATGTTTTTTCTTTTATGTAATATTTCTTATTTCCATTTTATAGTCATGCGTTTCATATATATAATAAGATTTTATAGGAGTGAAAATATTATGGGTTTCAAGGTTGGTTGGTTGTTTGTTTATAAGTTAGTATCAGTTCATAATTTTTAAATCGAGAAATTATAGTTACAGATGTAAGAAAGGGGAACGATAATGTAGTGAGTGAGGGGATGATCTGTTAAAATAGATTTGTTGCTTGCTCCGACTGCGCCGCGTGATGGATGACTGACTTCTGTTCAACTTTGGTCGCAACTTTTTCTTTGGGAGCGGCAAGATAATCTGCCGAACTAATATCGAATGGTTTATGTTACGGGTGATTCGTTGAGATTAATTAATAAATTGTTGTTGATGAATGCGACTGAGTAATAATAAAATAAGCTTTGTCAAAAATAATCACAACATTAACAAATGATGTGTAAATGTATCGCCTTCGCGTCGGATCTCTATTGTAAATATATAATAGAAAGAATCGAGTCAAACTTATGAGGGTAAGGATCCAACTATACAAATTGCTGTGATATCAGTTTTCGCTGGAATACTAATGTGCTGTCGGTGAGATAAAAATAAAATGTTTAATATGTTTTCATGAAAATAATGACGCTTTAGCGCATTCAAATTGATAAGAATGTACCTATATATTAAGTCGAAATAGATTGATCAAAATTTATTTTACTCGTTTTAAATACAGCTAATAAATTGTACATTTATTAATACAATGCCACTAGAAAATATTAGGTAAAATAATGAGCAATATGAACGCCAATTTAGATCTAAGCATAAAATTGTATGATATTAGCTTCTGTTATACAATTAAAGCGTTGATGCATAATGTTCCTAGAGTATAAGTGTCTAAGTTTTGTTGATGTGACGACTACGGACGTTGCGTGTTGCTTCCACTGTTCCATATTGTGTACAAGTTTTGTTCTGTACTCTTTAAGTTTCAAAAAGTTGATGTTATTGATTACTTGCCATAAAATGTAATGTTAGGCCTTACTTCGGATGTTGAAACCGAATTTATTAATAGACGTTACGTTTTCCTTCCCATTAATTTTATTATAATCTCGCTAGTATAGTGCCTTGTGAAGCATGCTTACGGATTAATAAAACTTATTAAAATTAATAATGATTAGATAAGAAATATTTTTGTGTACAATGTAAAGTTATGATGTAGCTCTAGTTAACAATTTATAGTAGCAACGCATTTCGTAATAAAAGCAATAATGTTCCATGGAATTAAGTCGCCAGTATTAATATTTGCAAGTATACTAGATAGTATTATATAATATTTAAGATGACCTTAAATAGTAAAATTACTTTGTAATAATCTGTACGTAAACTTTAATTTTCATTGTCCATAGTCTATGCATAGTACAGAAATACAAAATTACACTGAAGTATTTATTGTTTGGGCAATAAGATATTCTGTTTAGAGTAGTATCTATTTCAGGATTCATAGAGGTTGGCATTAATTAGACTGTAGTTGTACCTATTATAGTGTCTATGCCACAATACCTCGCTAGCTACTCGTTCTTATTATCTACTGACATATATCTTAAATAGCAACTTTTGAAGTTACTACAAGTAAATCTGTTGCAAAATTGCATTTATAGTTACAAAATGTTATTGTAAAAAATATTGTAAATAAATTATAAAATTTGGTAGACAGATTGCTATTACATATAATATTATATGTTTATTGTAAAAATATATTACTTAAGCTACGATATAAGCGATTGTTTTATAAAAGGAACACAAAAAATAAATTATTTTAGAATTAATATTTGCTTTTATTTTTTTGCTATTAATTAAGGATTAAAAGATATTTCCCCAAGAGAATATAGGATGAGGTCCTTCAAAAACAGAGTAAAGAGATTTTTTTAAAGTCAGCAAGTCGCGCGCATTGCTAATGGTATTGCAGATGTCTATAGGTTACTATAATTGAGGGCCTATCATGAAATTTTTAAGTTAATATTAAAAGTTCATGACACACACCGTTTAAAAATATTTAAAATAAAAATATAGTTTCTTTGGATTTTTATGGTATAATTTATAACATTTTATTAATGTTAAACTTTCGGCCGATTTCGGTATAAACTAAACCACAAAATTGAGTCCGAAAATTCGGATTTTTATTTCATGGTACATCCACTGCTTATCATCAGGCGCGACGTGTGTTTGTTTATCTAGGTGCTTATACCAAGTAATAATAAAGAAATCGCACGGAAAAAAGAGATTTCATGCATTTGTTATATTTTTACAGCTATTAGATACTATATAAATACCTATAAGAAAATACGATACATTGTATATATTTATATAATAAATTATATTTTTACCCTTCCTTTTCCGTGGGTGTCGTAAGACGCAACTCAGGGACGGCGAGATGGGCAGCAACGTCCCTCTTAAAATATCTCTAAAGCCTAAACTGTCACCTATCGACAAAATACCCCAAGGATTCTGTTCAGTGGATAGTTAAAGATTGATATGATATGTTTATTTACATGGTTGTTATGAGAAATAAAAGACAGTAACATTTATTATGATTTAATTCACGTTTCCCACGAAGATTATTTTTAAATTAAAAAAATTAAAAACTTGCCCGCATTTGTAACGTGAAATAAAACTTATAAATCTCTTTACTAAATAATGAAATTGTAATTTGAGTATCGTAAAGCGGGTGTCTTAGATTGGCGAACATAATAGAATTTAATTACCGAGGGAGAGGAATAATTGGCGAGTCGCCTGTAATGGCCACGGTTTATGGCCAAATTAATAGATCTCGCTGTATGCCTCGCTGGATCTCCCTCAGCTCGTTTTGATATTAATTGTTGGCTTAGTAACTGAATGTTAATAGGTGTCTATCTATAGAAAATAAACAGGTGTTCTATTTATTTATCCATTATTATTTTGAAAATAGCCGGGTAGATTGAATTTTCGAAAATAATTTATAACCTATGTTACTCACTAATACGAGGGTCAAACTGAAAGTCCTTAGAAAATAAAAAAAACTGATTAAATTAGCAAGTTTTTACCTTTATTTTATCTTTTCAAAATAGTGTCCATTCACGTCAATACATTGCTGCATCCGATAGAACCACTGAGAAAAGCCCATTCGTCCTTAGGGATCTCTTCGATGGCCTTCTGAAACGTAGCCACAGCTTCCTTGGCGTCCATAAAACGTTTTCTTCGAAGTTTTTCTTTTATTTTTCGGAATAAATAAAAAACACAAGGTGCGAGGTTGAGGCTATAAGGCGGATGACCCAGTAGTTCTACGTCTGAGGTCGCCAAATAATCGATCGTTTGCCTGGCGGTGTGCGACGAAGCATTGTCGTGGTGAAAAAGGATCCTACTGCGAGGTCGTTTCTCACACACTTTTTCCAAAACACGTGGCAAACAATTGTTACTGTACCACTCTGCAGTAACTGTTTTTCGATCCTCTAAAACAATGGTCGTGTAATGACCTGTCCTTCCAAAGAACGAGGCCACCATCTTTTTTCCCACGCTTCGACCTCTCTTCACTTTAGTTGGCTACTCCTCAGAAGGAAACACCCACTGAGCTGACTATTTTTTAGTTTCGGGATCATAACAGTAAATCCAGCTTTCGTCTATCATAACTTTTTTTTTATACAACTTAGAATGGCAAACAAGCTGACAGTCCACCTGATGGAAAGTGGTAACCATCGCCTATAAACATGAGCAGTACCATGGACATAACAGGGTATACTGTTTCGCCCATGATACCCCCCATGCGTTGCCATTCCTGAGGATTCAGGTGTTATTCCTCTGTACCCTGTAAATTCACGCCATATCCCATCCTTTAAATCGAAACACAGCCATGCAAACACAACTGCTTCACGGTAGTAACTATGACAAACACAGAATTTGAGTCACCTTCGTTAAATCTTTTATGCATTTCACGGCACCAATCAACACGACGGAGTTTTTGAGCCTCGGTCAAATTATGAGATATCCACCGGACACAAAGCTTCCTGATCGCTAAATGTTTTTGGTGGATTTTGTGCACTTGACTCATACCAATCCCTAAGCTTGCCCGGATCTGCTGATAGGCCACTCTTTTGTTAGTCTCTATCATATGCCGCACAACACTGATGTTATCTTCAGTTGTCTGCTGATAGGCCACTCTTTTGTTAGTCTCTATCATATGCCGCACAACACTGATGTTATCTTCAGTTGTCGTCGTAGAAGGCCGTCCCTCACGCACATCATCAGTGAGATTAGTGCGACCCCGTTTAAACTCATTAAACCAGTTGTAAAGAGTGGCATGAGACGAGGCTTCATCGTAAAAGGCCAATCGTAGTCTATCATAACTTTTTTGTTGACTTAGACATCGAAAGTCATAAAAAAGCATCGCACGAAAATTTTCTCGTGTTAAGATCATGTACACAGTCTATTTTCAATTTGCCGCCAAACCGTAAAACAAATGACAAAAGAATAAATTATATACTCAGTATTATTCATAAAGAGTTCCATTTTAAAAATTTCAATATTTTTTTTTATTATATTGCTTTCAAGTAGCCAGTTCTAAAAATTTTCAGTGTAGCCCTCGTAATGTAGCTTTTTATAAATGAAAGCATTTTAAGTTTATCCGATACAAACAAATAATCAGATTTTCATCTTTATAATATTAAGTATAGATTATTTTATATTCTAGATTAGCTGTGCTTGTTATTTTATTTGCATGGGAACTTTTGAGTCTTCTCATGCGAGTAATTTTATCGTAGTAAAAAGGACTCTATAGATTGAATTAAGTAGTACTTAGTAAATACTAGAACAATTTTAATTAAAGTCCGTCAGTTTTTTCGTGATATGTGCATAGACACGATTTAGTTACAGTTTTATTATCTGATTATACTGTGGCACCCTATTATCCCTAATACATCACTACTGGTTTATTTATTTGGTTTGGTTTATTTATGACTATATATTCAAAACAGACAAGGCTAGTTAATACATAATATACAATTTGATGTAGATATGGAGGACAAAATGAAGCGTGACCGTCGTGCATCGGAGGATTAAGGGATGGTCAATGAAAAGTAAGTATAAATCCGATAACTAGATAAAAGAGATTGATTGGCCTCGCTCTATTAAACTAGATAGATGAGTTATCTCAGTGAGCATGAATTTACCTTACCTACTCGATAATTCAATTTAAATATTAGGGATATCCCTTTGAATTGAATTATTGAGTAAGATAAGACCATTCCGATTATAATATTATATGATTCTGACACCCATGAAAGTTTCTTATATATTATTAGTATATAGATAACGTTCAACATTTTTTTATGCTCAGTTTGTTTAATTATGCGCCTATATTTTTTTTTTAACTTAATTATGAAATAAATATGTGGCAGTGTTAGTATTTTTTCGATATGTATCATAGTTCATATAAGTATCTAGATACAGACTTGGATACATCGTGTAATTGAAAGCAGATAAATTTTATTTATTTTATTTTTATTTGCTTAGGACTACAAACAACTGTAGGCGTAATCAAACAGATACAAACAATGGGATATTACAAGTGAATAAAGCGAAACATAACGTGATGATATTGTGACATGATTTAACTTTTAATAGTAATGTAACATATATTACTAATAAAGTTAGGTCAATTAAATCCTGAAATGAAAGTAGTTCGCGTGTTTCGTTGAAATATGATGCAACCAGATGCACCGCCTACAACTTTCAATATTTGATTTAAACTTATGCAAAGGACTACTTCAAATTTGAATATTAAAATGCAGAAACAACCTTATTAAATTTCAAGGAAGAGGAAGTTTTATTTCTGTCTTTTACTCATGAAAATCTAAAGCTGCTTATGTAATTTAAAAATCTGTAAAGTTTTTATTGGTGATTAAAATTCAACTGTAGTTCAAATATACTTTAACAATTTATATATCAAAAATTAGGACCAATATGAATGGTTTTCATACATATAAAACAAGATTTATTATTTACATATAATACTGATATTATGTATTTTTTGTTTAAACTTTTTTTCATTACTCCAGTTTGCTGTTGTTCTATTTATATTCCTGAGTGATAACTGCATGTATTATATAGTAGGCATTGTAAATTGCATATTATATGTTTTCCAGCAACTTTAAATTTTATCTTTAAACTAATAATTTAATCATAAATGAAAATACTACCTCTACTGATTCATCACCAATTCATTCATATTCAGTCACTTTTTCAATTAGACATTCATTTACTTAGTTTCTCATTAATTTAGGATGTGGTCTCAGAGATATTAACTAAAAGTAATTTATCTGAGTACAGTTGAGTTAACATCCGATTCGGAGTCCTTATAATTTTAACCTTATATCTATGGCAATTATTACAGTAAGTAGATATGCAGTAAAAAGTGTAAAGCAAAATACTGAGTTTGCAAATCCAACCCAACTACTACTTATTATGATTTTGTTGTAATAAAATATTGTATTGTATAAAGAAATTTAATAATTTATTAAATATGTACATTTGATTAAACATTCGTGTTATTGAAGGTAGCACAAAACTTATTAAACTTTTTAACTTCACAAATATTTCTTATTCAATATAATACTTAATACAAATTATATAATATACAACTTTAATAGAAATTTGATAAAAATATTATTTAAACTAACAGGTGAAACAAGTTATGTTATTTTTTGTTGTTGAATAGAAGGAAGACATAACTTCATTTAACTCAACCTTGGAGACGCTATTTCGATAATCCTTTGATCTTCCATCT